AAAAAGGAGGGTAGCTGTGTTTTTGCATACCCCAAGGCAGGAGTGCCAAGAAGCAGCTGTGGCTCTGAATAAGGAAGATGCAGGATGGTTAGAGCTGTCACACTGGGGAGCTGGCGGCCTGAGGGTTTTCCCACACTCCATGCTTGCATACCAAAGGACACCCTCATGTGACTCCTGGTCTGCCCCACTTGACTGTTCTTGAACCAGCTTTCCCCACAGTCAGCGAAATGGCAGGTCTCCTGGAATGTGCCGGCAGGGAATGCTGCAGGATGCCCTCACCCTCAACCCCCGAGTGTACCAGAGCACACGTGGAGGCCGCACTCTCTTGGCAGAGGTGGGTCGCGCACCTGGGGATTCTGCATGGCCCCTGGCCAGGGCAGCAAGCACACATGCCATCCAGAATTCTGCAGAGACCTAACATGGCTCTCCCTGGGCCACGCTCCTTGGAGGGGCCAGCCAGGAGTGAGCAAGCATCGTGGAATCTGACCAGCCTCTAGAGGCAGAGGGGGATGGCTCTGAGGAAGCTGCAGGGGGTGACTCGGCTGGAAAGCTCATGTTTCACCTAAGTTTGACCCGACTTCTGGATTGTAACAAATAATAATGCAAGTTTTATGATTGTTCATTACTAGCTATTGATATCCGCAATGTGGCTCGTTACAAACATGTGCAGTACTTATAGTATGTAGTAAAATGCTTATAAAGGGGAAATTGTGGCCATGTAGATATGACTCAAAACACAGGCATCTTTCCAGGGACAGTGGAGGAGCAAACACGTCTGGCCGTCTGCACCACAGGCACTCCCTGTGCTCTTCGCTGACGGTGGCTCGGTGTTGTCACAGGTCGAGTTTTGTTTTTTCCAGCCTGAAGCTCTTTGGGTGGTTTTCCTTTGGGTTGCTTGTGCAGATCTTTACAGTTCCTTCATAGGCATCCTGATCAGAAATGTCGCCTCTTGCTTTCTGGCACAGAGTTAATTAAAATGTCAGCTTAAGGGATGAACTGCTTCAAACATTACTTTGGTCTTTGGGCTTAAACAAGACATTTAAATGATTTCTGTATTTCCACCTTCACTCAGAAACTTTTTATTACACAGAGGAAATATTCGAGTGCCCTGCTACAAAGAGCACTCTGCACTGTTATTCCCCCGTGTTTTGTGTTTAATGACCTAAGGGACCCTCTCTCTTGCTCTGTAAGGTGAAATTTTCTCTATTTTAAGGATGGGGCATCTGAGTTGGTGTGACCTACCTGAGATTACACATGGTTAGAGCCATTTCTTGCTGCTCTTGTTCTGAGAGAAGACTTAACCCCCAACCCTCCCCCTAGTTGATGCCCATGGGCCCATTGAATCTTGTGTCATTCCCTGTCTGACCCCGCCATTTCCCTGTCTTGTTCTGCACAGGAAGTAAGAATGGAGGCCAGCAGGTGGTGGGTAGGAAGCCATCCATTCCACACACAAAGGAGGCTGGGCGTCTGTTTGGTCCCATGCATCCCACGTGGACATACCCTGGCCACAAAGTAGGTCCCCGTTAGCCCCTGGTGGTTATCCTGATTTTAACAATAGTTGGCTCAGAACTGACGCCATCTTCAAAACTGCCAGTTCAAGCAAATCAAGCAACAGTAGGCAGAATTCCTTTGTTATTTATTGCTATATCCCAATAGCAGGAATTCTTTCTTGTAAGTCTATTTCCAAAGGAGTAAATTTCAGTCAGTCAATTGACCAGTCACCCTTTGAGATAAATGCGTCAACCTGCACTTTTGGTTGCAAGTAACAGAAACTCAATTTGAAACAGTACAGGCCAAGAAGGGAGTAACAGGGAGGGTGGGACATCTCTGCCTTGAGACAGCGTGAGCCAGGGATGAGAACACCGCCATCCTCTATCTTGCCTTGACTTTCACTTCTGTGCATGTTGGCTTCGTAGCGGACTTCTTCTGCAAACCTGCTTCCTCCACAGGGAAGAGGACATGGCCACTGACAACCTCAGAGCCTTCTAGCCCCACCACTGCCACTTTCTGATCCCAAGTATAAAAATTCAGAGGAAGGATTCCAACCTGTCAAGCTTGAAGCAGGTTATTGGGAGGTGAGGATTATCTCTGAAAAGATAATAGTCCTTACTTCTGTCATGTGGTCCCAGTCAAGGTGATGATCCCAGCCTATTCTGGGCAGGCAGACAGTAGATTTCATTAGAGAAGGGCTCAGAAGCATTCTGTCTGTATTGGTCTTCTCCATTCCCTTTCTTCAAAGGAGAAGTTGACTTGTCTGAGCTTCTCTGCAACTGATGGTAAGGCTTCTTTTGGGATCCTTAGGCATCCTCTGGTAATCTCATCTCTAATTAAAATGCAGTGTTTCCCAAGATATGGAAACACTTTATTTCTTGAGTCTGCTAGCATCCAGCCCTTAGTACATGAGGAACTCGCTAAGAATAAACTTCTTCTACACTCACCCATGGGAAGGGTGGAGGCTGGACTTAGTTTCAGTTAGGCTCATGTCCTTGTGTAGCCCAAACTGCCCTTTACGTAGAGGCTCTGCCCATGCCGGAATCGTGTTGGTCAGTCCTATCCTTCCTGGGATGACGCAGTCCACTCCTCATCCTCTCATTGCTCACCTAACCACCAAGGCTGGTTCACTATCACAATCAACTCCCTGACCCCCAACCAGAGAACATCCTGCAGCTGCTACAGCAACCTGAAGCCTCTCCTTTCCAGGTGGCTTAGAAAAGAGCCCCACCTTACACTGTTGACTGCTGAAGCTGTACATTAGGCCTGCCTCATCCTAGTGGTGATAGCATTTTGGGTTTCTTGAAACAGACCCATAATCTGTAAGTGTCGAGGCACTGTGTTGTCTGTTTCTGAGGACTCTCAGCAACATCACTCTAAGGCCTGGGGAAAACTTGATCTGATAGTTCTGGGCTATGTTTTGTATTTGCCTTCAACCTGCCTGGGTTTCAGAGGCTAGATTCCTTGCATTCAAGATTTTGCCCATCCTCTTGAGAGCAAAGTTTTGATGGAGATTTAGCTTCAATAATGTTGACTGAAGTCTCCGAGTTATTGACAGTGTACATATAAGAAACTACCCGCCCTGGGTCAGTGTTGTGATATGAGAGAGGGAGTATTTTCCACTGAGGCATTCATTCTTCATCTGAGACGCAAGAGGGCTCGGAAACCTCTGTCTGTTTTCTCCACCCCTGAAAATGACTATCATGTGAGTTCTTTGACAGAAGCATTTAACCTGCTGTTAAGAATTATTTTTCTCTCTTTTCTTGTAAGATTGTGAGAAAATGTAGGTTATAATTACATCCTTATAGTCAGGGAATTTGACCATGCGAGGACTGGAATATTACTTAATGTAACAACAATAAACTGCTATCAACACAAAGAAGCCAGTTGTGATTGTTAAGGCCCTTTGTCTGTGGTGTGAAAGAGCTTCTATAACAATGAACAAGATGCAGACTGCAGAGAGGCTGGTAAAAGGCAGTGGTGTGGCAGTGGCCTTGGGTCCTGTCTAGCTTGTGCCTGGCACAGCCACCCTGGGAAATGTCCCTTGGGCTTCCCCTCCCACCACGTCTTCAACAACCAGCCAGTGCTTCCTCCCAAGCAAGACTTCTGGCTTCAATGCAGAATGCATGGTCCCTGTTTCTGTTTCAGTGGGAGGGGAGGCCCAAGGCCAGGCTCTGCCACCTGCCCCCACGTAGGCAGTGCACTGGGGAAGGGGTGGGACAAGGGAAGCAAGGAGGTTCCTTTTATTAATGGGGGGGGGGTTGGAAAGCCCATTCTGAAGGTTGGAATGTGGGGAAATGGGCTTAGGAGAAGGGGAGCAGCTTGGGTTCCCTATGCCCAGGTTCCTCATGCCCAGGTTCCTCTCTGACCCCTTCTTTTGCAATCATGGCTTTCCTTTGGGGTAGAGGGTACCTTCCTCATGAACACTGGGGCATTGATTCCTCTAGAGTAGCCCAGAGTATTATGATGGTCACTTTCCCATTTAACAGTGAGATCAACTTCTTCAGACTGTCGAGCCCCTGGATGGCCTGTGGTGGGCCTCCGGTTTCGGCCTCACATTCAGCATAGAGGAAGGGAGTGTTTGGTGGCGCTGGGCCAACTCTCTTCCATTAGCAGCTACCTACCTTCCCCACCTACAACCAGGTCAGACACACCCTGAAATTGACTGCAGCTCCTGTCTCTAGCTCAGGGAGTTTTATAAGATTCTGCCTCTCTGAGGCCATTTCAAATCCTCTCCCCTTCCTGTTTTCCATGGTTTCTGGCTACTTTCCATTTACTGTGTTTTCTCTCTGCTTAGCCCTATAAGATCCCTCTGAGTTATTTGAGTTCTTCTCAAGATGTCTCATCTTAGCTTGCTTCTCTCAGCTCTAGCTCTGTAGAAACACAGTGTGCCAGCCTGGCTGCCAGAGACCTTATCAGGTCATGGGCTTGGCTGCTTCTGGAAGGAATGTGTGAGTAGATGAAGGGCCTTGAAATTGGCATCCCCTGTCTTCTGTGCTCACTGTGATGGTCAGGATGGACCTCCATACTGTGAGGTGTGCCTTGGCTCTGAAGAACCCTGGCATGAGAGTTAATAGATACCCAGATCTGTGCAGGAGTTGTTCCCACATAGTTCCTTGGTGAATAGTACCAGCTCCCTGGTCTCCTCAAAGAGTAGAACCATATTGCTGTTGGTGCCTCTGGCAGGCTGTGCCGCCAGCTAAACCAGACCCAACATATCCAGTCAAGTCAAGCACCACTGGGTCTGCAGCTCTGCTGTGGCCTTCCTGGCCAAGGGTGAGGTCATCCAGTGGGTGGTTCTGCCAACTTTCAAAGCACCACTTAGCAACAGCATCTGGTCATGTTCTCCTTGTAGTAGTTTTGAGATCCCGTGGTTTCACGTTTAGGTGGGTGGTTTAGCACATATAATCAGTGAAACTGTCCACACAAATTGTGTACTGCATTTGGAAGTTGGTAAGATGTTTTCCCCACATTTTAAGTACATTCTTTTTTGTTTTCCTTCTCTTTAGTCCCAGGTAAATCACCACAGTGCTGCTAGTAATGAAACATACCAGGAACGCTTGGCACGTCTAGAAGGAGATAAGGAGTCCCTCATATTACAGGTGGGTCCTTTTTGGTGGGAATCAGCACATCTATTACTTCCAACTCTGTAGCTTCCCTAAGTGGGGGAAACATACAAGGATTTTCTCTGTTGGATTTATCTTGTTCTCAAAGTGTGTGTCTTTAGAAAGGCTTTTCCTGGAACAAAGCAGAAAGTAACTGAGGGCAAAAGTTAGCTCTGGGCTTGGCTTTGGGGGCTTTGAGTGTATTTACTTATTTATCATGGACGACCAAGCATCCATCTCTATACTCTGGAAGCTCTGTGGCCAGGCTAATTAGTGGAGCTTTGTCTTCTAGGAGCCCAGGAGTCTTGCCAGGATGATAAGCTGTGTCCTCAGGTCACTAATAAAATAGCCATGAGTGATATGAGCCTAAGGGTGTATGTTGATGGGATCAGCCCAGATAATTGGGAGGTGGATCTAGACTTATACATGGAGGCTTAGAGCTGGTAACATGGGGTAATAAGCCTTTGATGACTCTCTGGCTTCAAAGAGAGGAACTCTGAAATGTTTCAGGGAGAAAGATAGTTAAAGGAATACTTTCAGTTCTGAAAACATGCTTTCCTTGGCAGGCCATAAAGTTGAGCAATCTTACAAGAGGCCTATTGCTGTGACAAGGGCCCTTTGCTGTGTTTGCTCTCAACTGCATAAATTAAGCATCACAGTCTTGTATGTATTGATGATTTGGAGAATAACAAGACTAATATCCCAATCCTAGTTTTTTAAAAAACTTGAAGGGTGGCAGATAAGACTAGAAGTGAATGGAAGAGGGGGCAGGTAGGGTTCTGGAACCTTCCTCCCCAGACTGTGGGCTTTAGCCTAGAGCCCTAAAGCTAACACTATAGAGTTAAGAGGCTGTAGTATGTTTTTGTTTTTTCCTTTTATTTTACCTTATTTCTTTTATTCAGTTTACTTCAGTGTATGAATGTGAGACTGATAAATAATTATTTTGGAAACTTTGGAAAATCAAAAAGAGTTTAGCATTTTGGCCTTTTGGCCTTTTTTCCCCAGCCTTTTTTACCTTGTCCTACCCCATCTTTCTTTTTTAAGATTCATTTATTTATTTATTTATTTATTTATAGACAGAAAGGGAGGAAGAAAGAGAGGGAGACAGATGCCAATGTGTGGTTGCTTCTTGCTCATGCCCTACTGGAGACCTGGCCGCAATCCAGGCATGGGCCCTTGCCTGGAGTTGAACCCATGACCCTTTGGTTCACAGGCCAGTGCTCAATCCTCTGAGTCACACAAGCCAGAGTGTCCTACCCCTATCTTAAATAAGTAAACTCAAACCAATTATACAGTTATGTATCCTACTTTGTTCTTTTTCTTCACATCATTGATTTTGTTCATTAAAAATACATGAGTGTTGACAACTTGGTGGACACTAGTTTTAGGTGCTGGGGATACAGCAGTGAAGAAAACAAACTAAGTCAGTCCCTGTTCTCTAGCTTCCACTGTGTGTGTGTGTGTGTGTGTGTGTGTGTGTGTGTGCTGTACACACACAGTAAACCAACACACGAAATGTGTCAGATGGTGATAAATACTATGGAGAAAAGTAGAACAGGTAAGAACTGTGCAGTTAGGGAAGACCTCTCCTGACAGGAGGACACCTGAAGGAAGTTAGGGAGGGAGCCACTCAGGTGCCTGGAAAAGCCAGGCCAACGAAGTGGTGGGTCCAGCACACACCCTGAGCAATGAGCAGGAAGGGGCCATGTGGCTGGAGTTGGTGACCTGCAAGGAAACCTGATGGGAACTGCCTTCAGAGAGGTGGCAGGGGCCCAGTTATGGAGCACATTAGAGCACAGGAATGTGTCGTTTGAAACGCCATCCCAATGAGATGATTAATGAAAGATTGTCCAGATAAGAATTTTGCCACAAACACTATGAAACTGCAAATGTTTGAATAGAAGCCTTCATGGCTGACATAACACATTCCTATGAAGGGGATTACATTTGAATAAAGAAGTTCTATTTAATAATCTCTTTGATGTTCATGGTTGTTGTTTTTTTTTAAACTTCCAAATTCTTGAATAATCCTTATTTAAATAATTCCAACACAATTGGGAACCTGCTTATCGGAAAAGTCAGAAGTGGATTCTAGCGATTCTGTTCTGCCAGGAGCTTGTGGACAGACTTTCAGAGCTGCTGTTAATGGTCACCCCTGTTTGCAGTGGCCCCTCGGAGCCAGTGAGACAAACCCTCCACATGGTAAGGCCTGTTGCTTAAGTCACACGGCAGCTCAGACAGACTGAATTAATTGAAAACCTTGGCCCAGAATGTTTTCCTGGGTTTACTTATAGAAGAATGAGGGAAATCACACAGAAAAAAAATACTTGTTTCCAGGATTAGCTAAAAACAAATAAAACCAAAATCATTTATATCTTCATTAGAGTATAAGTTCTTAAGGCAAGGCTTTGCTTTGCTTTTTTCTTCTTCTTTTTTTTACTTCTGTATCTCCCCTAGTGTCTAAAATTATGCCTAGCATGTAGAAGTGCTCAAAAAAATTGTTTTTATTACATAAAGGTCACATTCTAGGATCTTTCTATTTCTTGTCCCAATTTTCTGTATCCCTCCATTCATTATGCTTGGGGTGAGTATTCAGGTTCCTAAGGACCCTGCAACCCAGTGTATCTCGAGTCTTACCTACAGCTGAGCTATAAGCTGTAGGATGCTACAGACCACATATTATTCCTCGAGGTACCACCAGTGTATGCCTGCAAGGCCCAAGGCATGATACAGACTATATGTGTTAATCCTCATAATAAGATTAACCATAACATATCCTTCCCAAACAGAAGCTCTGGAACCAGGAATCAAAGGCCACCTCCTGGAATCCTACCCTTTTGAAAGTAGCATTAGTAGTTGAAAAGGCCAGACTGCTGATGGTGTTGGGAAATAAAAATTAAAAAACAAACAAAGGTTTGTATTTAAGGTTGGCCCAGTTGACAGAAGGTCCCCGTTTTTGGATTATAATTGAAATGTTAGCATACCATGCCTCAACTTGAGGAATATGTTTCAATAATTCATTCATCTCTTGGGAACATACAAATGGAAAGCTTAGTGTAACCATATTAATTTAGATTAGTTCTCCTGTAAGGGGAGCTTTATAATTTATTAAGTTTATTTAAACACTTATAAGTGAAAATCACATTAACGTGTTCATGCTCCAGCTCTTATTCCTTTATAGACCTAAGAAATTATTCAGGATGCCCTGGCTGGCATGGCTCAGTGGATTGAGTGCTGGCCTGCAAACCAAAGGGTCACTAGTTCAATTCCCAGTCAGGGCACATACCTGGGTTGTAGGCCAGGCCCCCATTAGGGGGCATGTGAGAGGCAAACACACACTGATCTTTCTCTCCCTCTCTTTCTCCTTCCCTTCCCCTCTTTCTAAAAATAAATAAAATCTTAAAAAACCATTCATGATAATCCATTGTAAATGGCAATGACTGAGCTATTGTTGAAAAACCAAAAGAGTCTAAAGGACCCCAGTTTATCAGGGACTAATTTCTTTATTTTGGGGAGTTCACCCATTCAATTTCTTCACCTTCCTGCTCTGAGGTAACTTTTAATTCAGAAAAAAGGAAAAGGAAAATGATCCCAAGGCAGTTTGTTAATAGATGGGCTGTGAAAATTTTTTCAGTGTATGTTTAGGGTATACTTTAAATAATTTATTAAAAATGTATTTTTCTAAATTAATTCCAATAAGTATTCTCAATGTGTTTTCCCCCCTGCCACTGTGTATGCAATGTGGCTTGTGTATGTTTATGACTTAGAGTTGCGTTTTGGCCTGTGAAGCACAAAAACCTTTCTGGAGCCAAGTTTTGTCAGTGCTAATACATGCCCGTGCCCTTTACGTCCCACATTCCTTAATTGCTTCAGAACACTCACCTGATAGGTGAGCAGCCTCACACCCTTATGAGAGAGGTGAGGTCATTGGCTAGTCTCCACACAGCTTGGATTGCTCCTCCACGTGGGGCGGCAGAAGCCCTGGCAAGCCAGCTGAGATATGCCTTGAGGTTGGGGCTGCCCGAGTGAGCTCTAGAAGAGGAGTAAGAGCAAGAGTTCAGCCCAGAGGCAGCTCTCGTGGCTGCTGGGTGTTTTCTCTTGAGCGTATCAAGAACAGGAAATGTGACCAACTTTATTTGAGGCAGTGGCTGAGACTCCCTGGCAAGGTAAGAAAACAACTGGCATTTCCTTCATCCGGGACACTCCCCCACCTGCCACCCTTCAGTGGTGTGTGGCTTCAGGGCTCTGCCCCGTGGGGAGCCAGTCCTGCTCCTTCACCATTGCTTTATTTCCCCGGTCAGGTGAGTGTCCTCACAGACCAAGTGGAAGCCCAAGGAGAGAAGATTCGGGACCTGGAAGTATGTCTCGAAGGACACCAGGTGAAACTCAATGCTGCTGAAGAGATGCTTCAACAGGTAAGGGTGGCTGGAGCTGAAGGCCCTTGGGTTCTATCAGAGCTCAGGTGTTTAAGCCCCTTTCTGTGTCAGGGTTATAGCTCTTCCTTTCCCGTCCTTCCTGGAGCTGGGATTGGCCACTCAGTGTAGTGTTGATTCAGCAAGTGAAACGGGCCTGAGCATTGAAAGCTGCAGAGGGGGGTGGAGAACGGGCCTGGCCTGCATGAATAACCTGTTGGGCTGGTTAGACAGATTCCCAAGCAGCACTTCCCCAGGCCTGGTTCAGCGAAGGAGCTCTCTGTTGGCAATGTCATGGGGACAATATCACGTGAACTGCAGCTTGACTGCAGGTGGCACTGGGGTTTTAGAAAGTCACCCACCTTATTTTGTTCCCCCTTTCCACTTATTCTCCCCCCCTCATTCTGTGTAGTCTTCTTTCCTGAAACGTATTATATAAATAATATTTTAATATAATTTTATACATGTTAAAATGAAAAACAATTGACTGTTCTCCTGCTAGTCAAATAAATAAATCTCTTAAATGTCTTCTTATTTTCTTTTGGTCCTTGATATGTATGCATATAATTTCCAAAGCTCTATTCATACCAGATATACAATTATTCCTCAGATTTTTGTATGCTTCACATCATAGAGTTTTGCCTATTTTTAATTTTGCTGTATAGTTGTCTTTACTATCACTTATACTTTTTTGAATGAAACTATAACTGACTGACTCTTCTACTCTTGAACAGTTTTAACCTGTTATAAATTTTGAGCTACCATTTTTAGGAAGGATACTGAATTTTTATCAAAAGTCTTTTCAGGCCCTGGCTAGTGTGGCTCAGTGGATTGAGTGCTGGCCTGTGAACTGAAAGGTCACTGATTCGATTCCCAGTCAGGACACACGTCTGGGTTGTGGGCAGGGTCCCCAGTTGGGGGCATGTGACAGGCAACCGATCCATTGATGAGTCTCTTGCACATCGATGTTTCTGTTCCTCTCTTTCCCCCTCTGTTTCCTTCCCTCTGAAAATAAATAAATAAAAATTTTAAAAAGTCTTTTCAGAATCTATTGAGAAGGTAATTAGAAATTTTATTTTATGAAATTTATTAATATATTTAATGTTTTTTAATGTACATCCTTCTTGCATTTTCAGTTATTTTGAAAAATAAGCCATGACTGAAGCTTATGTGTATATGTGTTGTAGCTCCTGGTATAGTACTGGCACGTAAAAGGGGCTCACTAATTATTTAAAGAATGAAAGCCCATCCCTTCAAATGAGGGGGTTTGATTGGATGACCACTTGTCATCTTTCCCCCAAAGCTCTCACAGTTTTTTATTGCTGTAATCAGCATAGAAATAAAATTATTTCATAATGAACACAGGCTTTGAATCTGACCTTTGGTCTTAAGATAAATCTCGTAGTTCCTAGGTGTCTGTTAGCTTCGTTTGTGTTTGAAAAACATTTTTTTAAAGTCAGTGTTTATATGCAGATGGCTTTATAGACACTAATTCCAAGAGCTGGGGGCTGTTACTAGTTTTGTTTTTTTTTCCATTGCTGATTAGTAAGTTAACACACTCCTGACTCCATCTGATTTTCTCTTTAAATTGCATGGCATTTTTCTTGCTATTCCCTGAAAATCTGAGTAGCAAGAGGAGTGGTCTTTCTATGTTTTTGTATTTATTTTTAAGAGTTTTGAATCTTTTGAAAATCCACGAAACAACATTGGCTGATAGAAAAATCTCAAAGAGAAGAAAAGCTTTTTCACAAAGAGTGATAGGAGCACAGGATGACCCACTAGATTGTATTTTTAAGGCTGGGCAGGGTGTGGTTTTGGGGTGGGGGTGAGAGCGGAAGATAATGGGGTGCTGTAAAAAAAAGACAGAAAAAGAACATTTGGATGTGTAAGGGAACATGCCGTAACATTGTCAGAAGGTGGATGTGTCAGGAAGGCAGTGCCTGGCAAGTAATGCGTGACTGGCGGTCAGAGCTTGGCTGCACTGTGGCTCCTGACTTCTCTGAGCGCCCTTCCCGGCTGCTCTTCCGGCACTGCCCCACACTCTATTGTGCTGCTTCTGAGCCCTGGTCAGAGTCTCTGTGCACAGCAGTCACGCCGGTTCCCAGCACCACCTGGGGGAGTCTGTCTTGTCCTTCCATGGACTGGATTTTAGACTTTTGAAACAAATCTTAAGCTCAGTTACCCTTCATGTGTTGTATGTATCCTAAGCCTTCTTTCCTGTGTGCTATGGGTTCAGTAACAGGCATGTGGTTTGCCTGTACCATAAAAGAGATCTTGGCTTGGTGTCTTTTGGTGTATAACTCTTATTAGCCACCTCTAGGATTTAAAGACTTTTCTGAACTTAGCCATAACTTTATACTGATAACTTTCATTGCATTCTTTCAGTCTTTCAAGGGTAAAATGAAAGGAGTATAGAATATTTCCTTTGTGGAAAATTCTGAGTTCATGTCATAAGACACATAGGAACCTCAGCTCCCACTTGTGTGTCTTTTGGACATGGTGGTGCCTGAGCTTGAGATCTTTGAGGTGCCAGCTCCAAATCCCAGACTGACTATGCTGATGCACAGTTAATGCTTTCCTAAAGTCTGCTTGACGCTGTTTGAAAAGACACTTAATTCTTTCACCACAGCACTGATGCGATTCTGTCTGTTGCTTGGAGTATGTACCTGTGTCTTCTTAAAGGGGGACAGGCAGAGACTTGCCTCATTGGCTGTGTTATCCTGGACTGTAGGGCTCTTGGCTTCTGGTGAAGGGAGCAAGAATGACTCATGGCCTTGAGGCAGAGAATGGAGGCAAACAATCGCCTCTTTCTGCCAGCCCTCAGAAACCATTCCTGCCCTGAGCCAAGCCTGGCCTCCTGCTCAAAGGCCTGAGGAGCTCTGAACAGTCTCTTTGACTGTCACAGTGTGGGGCCTTCTGGCTGGCTGTTGGCACTGCTTGGGTATGCGCTCCACACACTGAACGTGTCTTGTCCAAAGGAGATGGTGGCTACTCTAGCTGACTGTGCCTGTAGGCCGGTGTTGCCAGATAGTCCCATGGAAATCCAGATTCAAAGATAAGTTTCTGTTTTAAAAACATTGGTGACTAATTAAAATGAAATAAAAATGCTGTTTGAACCACATGATATGTACCATCACGTCAGCCTGAGCCTGGCCTATAGACCTCTAACCTACGACCTCTGCTCTAGACTTTGCCCCCTCCATTGGCTGGAATAGCACTTGGGGAGACCTAAGGAAACCCAGCCCAACCAACAGAGGCTAAACCCTGGGCTTACATGGGCTCCAAAACCCCACTGAGCTCTCCCTTGCCACATCTGTTCTCCTGACCAAAGTCAGCCTCCCGCCAGGAGCCCAAGAGGAAACAAGGGAGTTCCCCACCCAACTCATGAGCTACGCACCCCTCAACCTGGCCCGGCTGCTGCTAAGTACTAATCTCTCAGTTCCCATCTGTTTTCTTTTAAGCATTAACCCATCAGTCTCCAGAAATCAGAAAGAGAGAACATGAAGACCTTGTGGTTAGATGGGTAAACCAGGACCAAAGAGAATGAGCACAGGAGCCAGTCCACATGGGCAACACATGGACACAATTTAGAGCAAACTATTACTTGTCTGCAGCCCAGCGAAGCTTGGGAAGGGGGCTGCTACAGCATCTCTTGGGACTGCCTAGGAAGCACCTACTCAGATACTGTCTCAGACTCACTGAGCATATCTGGATTTCTCAGGGAACCTTCCCCATTAGGAAGAGACATTTTCCAAAATTGTACAATTGGATCTTCCTACAATTGTACGATCGTACAATTGTACAATCGTACAATTGTACAATCAAGGGGTCACAGCCTGCATCAGTTTTCACAGGTGTGGGATGGTCTGGGCGTAGAGCTCACAGGGCTGAGCCTTGCCCTCTGTTCTTTAAGCAGGTCAAGGCCTTGTCCAGCTGCATCTCTGAATGCTGCACACTGGGCTGTGTGAGCCCAGGGCTCAAAATAGCACCCTGGGAATACAAGCATTGGCCAGTGCCCTCCTCCTCGTGACTGGCTCAGCTGGCAACAAAATCTCTGTGTCACAGGGAGCATCCCCCACGGCCTGTTGATGTATTCGAGCTCCCTGGTGGCTTTTTCTGAAGTGGCCTTATGGGTTGTCTGGGGGGTGGGGGGTCCAGAAGGTTCTTGCACAGCAAGCTCCTCCACCTCCTATCATGGACCCTTCTCCAGAAGAAGGAAGGTGGTACTAGTCACTGGGTAAGAGATTTTATACAAAGTGGGCAGCACTTTCCAGAGACTGGCCATTTATGATGGAATCAGTGTCAAGAGCAGAAACAATATTCACTGCTGAAAAGAAGATAGGGAAGTCAAGTGGAGAAGAACAGAAGCAGACCTCCTTTGTGAGGACATAGTCCAGCCTTTGGGAAACCTGAAGGCCCCCAGGCTCTTTCAGTTCTCCTGCCTGACCCACAGTCCCAGGCATCTGGCAACCTCATTTTGCTGCCTTTTTGGTGAGGTGTGGAGAGTGACAAATTTAGTGGATTTGGAGTCAGTGGACACCACTTCCTGTAGAGTCACCACTTGCTGTTAATCCGGGAAAGTCAAGGCACCTGCATTCTTCTTTGCAGAGAATGGGGATGACAATGTGGACTCGACATTGCCCGCCTCTTTGTGCCATAGTACAGCTCTTCCAGTTTTGTTGGAACTGCACACCAGTGGTCAGTGTGAGTCACGACACTGAGCAGGAGATACTCGGCCTAAGACATAGGCCCAGTCCCTGCCCTTGAGGGGACTGAGGGAACAGTGCACTCAGACCTGGGAACTCAACAAAGCCTCAGCAGCCCCCGGCTGATAAATTTCCCAAAAGCACCTTTAAGGGGTATTTCCATCTCAAAAAGAATATTCGACAGAGCTGTGCACATGGTCCTGTGGGAGCACAAATCTGTCTGAGGAGGTGGGACACCTGAGTCAGGAGTGAAGAAAACAGGGTTTGCCAGTTAGTCCCTAAAACCCCCTGGAGATT